TAACTTCTTTATCTGAGAAGTTGTTAGAATAAACACTACTTTCATATTCATAGTGAAGGGAATCTTTCTTTTGGATCAACGATAAAATTTGTCCTTTTCTCAATTTCTTGTTTTATATCTCTCTCTACAGTGTGCATACAAAGAAAAAAACATCAACTGAAGTATAGTACATGTTCACTCTGTAATACGATAGTTCTATATTCTTTTTTCAGGCATATTGAATAATACTGTTCTCAATTCAATATTTTGAATTTCCTCACCTAGACATTTCATTCAAACCGGTTTAAAATCATACTATTCCACGTAGATTTTTATGCTCTACAATCTGGAAGGAAAACATTTTGTCCCACCACCCATACCTAATTCAGAAGCCTAGGAGTATGGTGGTACATCAAAAAGTCGACTTTCCCCGTAATGCGGCGAGCGAATCTCAACACCGACTAGTGCGTTGGAAAGAGCGTAAAAACCTGAGCAGGAGGATTTTTCGATTCGCAAGACTTTTAATGCATGATTTAAGACCTTCAGAGGGTTTGATGGCTCAGCGCCTTATAAAATTTAATCTTTTCAACTAACTATTTTTCAGAATTTTTTACTGAATTGCACCTTAAGCAAAATTACACCAACCCGACATATGTGCGACTTGAAATGACAGAGATTGGGACGGTTTAAGTTAAAAGTCTTAAAACAGCGCCAAATACCGCAGAATTCCGCTGGAAATAGCGCCATCTTGTATAATCGTAATTTAAACTTCTTTGAGCTAGTGGCATAGCTAGGATTTCGTTAGTGGGCGGGCGTTGCCCCAAATTTCTCCAAAGTGGTAGACATTAGCGCAGATTAGTGTGATTTTTTAAAAGTTTAGTGTTTTAGCGTCACCAGCCCATCCGGTGGCTACGCTACTACTTTGAACTCCGCCATTTCAAGTTGTACAGATGCGTGGTTGGTGCCATTTTGGAGCAAAATTTATGCTGTTTGCGATGCAATGCAGCAAAAAATTGGGAAGGACAATTATTAAGCTGAAAAAACTGGCTTTTATAAAGCGATGAGTCATCGAAATGATTGAAGGTCCTAAAAACCTGACAAAATCTAGTCCCGTGAACCAAAAGATGCAGCAACTTACACTGTTTTTTGCACTCTTTCCAGTGCACTAGTTGGTGTCGAGATTTGATGGCCGCATGCGTGAGAAACTCAGCTTTTCGGTGCTCCACCACAATTTGATATTTTCTAATTAGGTGTTGGTGATGCAACTAAATTTTTTGCTCCGCACAAAATTCTACGTCGAGTAATATGTTTTTAAACCGGTTTAAGTCAAATGTGTAGTTCAAGAAAAATAAAATACCAAAAAATATGCTAAATATCAACGCTCTTTTTATAACTGTAAGTAATTAGCACAATAGTGGTCTGAATAGTGATAAAGCCACTATTCACTATATGCAGATCATTTATACAGGTTTAAATGATATGAAAGGAAAAAATAGGAAAAAAAATTCCCTAAGAATTGGTTCGATTTTGAACCAAGAATTTCATTAAACGTTTTGATGAACTTCCTTTTAATGAAAGTTTTTTTAATGAAAAATGTTTTAATAAAACTCTGATATCCCCATTGACAGTGATCTTCCAGGACATAATGTAGTTACTCATACGTTTTTCAAACGAACAGACTTATATCAGCGCGATATGACTATTTATTATCCATATGGAAGTCGTTCTTATTCATCAGGTTCTAATCATTACCGTCAACGGCTTTTATACAATTATTTGAAATTATGCGAAAGCATAATTTTTGCATAAATCGAACGAGATAAAATATTTGACTTCTTCGCTTAACCAGAAAGAACTAGATAGGTTTGCAAAAACGACCTATGAGCATTGCTATGTGCGCGATTCGAACCGCGATTAAAAAGCTTTTGGGTTAAAGCCGATTTAACGTCGTGTCTATACTCAGTTGTTAACGCTCAATCCGAAAAAAGTAGTCTCATATGCTGAAAAAAAAGAGTAAAAAAGAAAATTTCGCATATTTTAAAAAATCATGTGTTTTTCGAAAAAACGGTCATCTTTGAGTTTTTAAGTTTTTTCGGTCTGAAAAAACGTTTCCGAAAGCTAAAAGTCAGTTTTTCTTAGTCAGCTGCTCACTCTCTGTCGAACCATATACAAAAAGACCAAAACAAAAATTTTACTTGAAGTTCGAATTATCAGCATCTTAATCATTTTCAGCTGAAACATGAGATTTAATCAAAGTTCGCTCCTTGTATTACTTAGAATATAATGATAATTGTACGGCAGAAAAGACGAATCTTATAAAATCCTTGGTATTGGTTCGTTGGGACTGACTTTATTATTATTATCGGGATTAAAATGGTCATATCAGATTGAAAATTTAGGAAGCACTCGAATATTTCTAAAAGGATGTATATATTGTTAGCAAATCTATATTAGTTACTTGCAAAAACGATTAACAAGTTATTGTACGGGACACACAATACGTAATCCATCACCTGCATTCTTGTCGACCTTTACGCCAGGCACATCCGTCGGTCCATCAAGAAATTCGGGCGGAAACTCCTTCTGAATAAATTCAGTCGCTGGAGGATGGAACTTTTGATAGAATGCGATAAATATTTCGTTCTTTTCTTCTGCAGATAATTTAATGTAGCTAGGATGTTTCTTGAGCACGATCTCATCAAAACCTGCGCTATATAAATCAAGAGTCTTTTCGATTTCGATGGCTGCCGGACGTCGTTTTGGATCATGAGCCGTGCACCGAGCAATCAGATCGTCAAAGATAAGACTTTTTTCTTGAAAAGCAATTTTGTCATTGACAAGTGGCTGAAACGAATGTTTTGTCGATGTAAAAAGTTCATTTAGTGTCAAGCCGAATGTAAAGACATCGAGTTTCTGATCATAGGAACCACGATAGAACTCGGGTGGCATATATGATTGACAGCCGATTTGCGTATGTTGGTTGAGCGGGTCGACAAATCGCGCAATTCCCATGTCACCAATTTTAGCAACGTAGTTTTCGTTGACAAGAATATTATCTGGCCGAATATCTCGATGGATCATACGATGTTCATGAATCTTCCGCATCCCACTAGCAATATTTCTTGCCATGTCAAGCTTTCGTCGGAGAGATAGTTTATCTCCCTTTTGGTCTATAACATTGGCAAGACTTCCACGAGACATGTACTCCATGATAAGCATATATCTTTTGTTCTGACCATGTCTGGATGCTGTGAATCCGTAGATCTTGAGGATATAAGCACCTGAGAGTTCGGCATATGCGGCTATTTCTTTAAGAAAGCTCTTTTCAAGCCTTTCAGCATCATTCGTCTTAGGCACAGTGATTACCTTACATGCAACAGGACGATTTTTTGATATCCATCGAGCCTTGTATACAGAACCTGAAAAACATAAATTCATATGATGTATAAAAATACTGCCTAAAGAAGAACGCACCGAACGCGCCGCTACCGAGTTCATCGCCAAGTCGAATATCTTCCACTGGAATCTGCTGAATCGCCCGACGGGGTATGACGACAAGCGGGTGCGAAGACTTGTGTGTTTGTGTAGTAGCACCCTCATCCACACATTGCTGGCACAAATTATAGTCTGGACAGGTATCACATTTAAATCGTAAACCTTTTAAGGAATCACAATCGCATCCATCGCACGTAACCGATTCATGAATCTCACGAGCATATAACTGTTTGAGTTTAGCAAATGTCACTTCATCATCCGTTACCGCCCGACCAAACAATTCGTCAGGCGATTTGAAGTGAACAAAAGCATGACCACTCTTGTGTTCCGTAGACTCTCTTCGACGCTCGAAGCATTGACCACACATATTCAAGTCTTCACAGTTTAAACACTTGTAACGATCGCTTCGAATTGGAGAGGTACCGCATGCTCCGCACCGTACCTTATGTATTTCTCCGTTCTCATCTTTACCACCAGCATCGCTCGAACAAATCAGTTTCAGTATTTGCATAAGCACGGCATTGCGAATTGCATTTTCGTCGTTCTCATTGTTGTCGTCATTGTCATCTTAACATTAAAGAGTTAAAATAACAATATTTCCTTTCGAACTTTTCATCAAGAGCAGTTGCACTCTTGCTTTTTTTCGAACATTGTCCACTATGTTTCCTTTCTTATATATGCGGCTCTCTAGATCATTGCTATTATCTATAGTATATGGACAACTAAATGTGATCAGCAAGAGAAATATGGTGTGTAGCGAGAGAATTTTCTCCGATCCTAACAAATACCTCCTATAGATTCGATAATTTTCAGTACTCTGACAGATACAAACTACAATACAATGTTTAGACGATGCAATAATATTAGCAATACTTAGCAAAACTTTTCAATTACCAAAAACAAAGACATCTCTTCATTGTGACTAATGGATGAAGCGATACAGAAACAACAAAATCCCAATAACTAACTATAGCTGGATGAATACTGCTTTTGTTACACTGTTTCAATATCAAAGAAAGCGGGTGTCAGAATAATAATTATCTGCTCCTTATCGTACTATGATGATGAATACCATCACCGACACCATACACGAAAAATTAGGATTAATGTTAAAAATCTGCTGTTAAAAAATAGTTCTGAATTGGATGAATACTCCACAATCTAGTCTGCTGTTATAAAATATACTGAATACTCAAAACAATTTAACAGCTAACTTACTGTGCATATCCTCTACTTCTTCTACTCTTTTCTTCTATCTCAACTCTTTCCTTTTTTTGAACCGATAGATATTTACTTTGTTGTTATTTCCATTTGTCTATGTTGCGTTTCTTCATCCTACAGTTTCTTTAGATAGCCAAGTACAATGCTTTGCGATTCCTGACTATCTGTGACGCTTATTTCAGCTGACTAATAATAATTATAAATTCATTGCGACTACGAATGACTTCCTTTTGAATAAGCTAAAGTGTGAGTTGTCTAGTAATCCCTGTTTTTGATTAAATATAATTGATCTACATGTTCTTGCATTTCAACCAATTATTAAGTTTACCAGTTTATCAAAATACGTTTCTTGTGTGGAAAATGTGTGATTGATGGCTTGTCCTACACAGTAGTATGGCCATTCATGTTAGGCAAAACTAGTAACGGACCAAAAGAAGTTTGTAAGAAACTAAATGTCAGAAGAAGAAAATGCGAAGTTACGGAGGCGTAGCAAAAGAGACTGAGTGGTCGCATAACTGATATACTTTCGCATAGCTTACGTAGCTTTGTACTTTCTTTGACATTTCGAAAAAACTAAAATTAAGAAACCGCTAAATGGTCCATCTAGGCATGTACTGCAGCTAGAGCTAAAGTTCGAACCGGGCCCTTCAAGACCGGATTTCGGCCGGTTCATCCTTATAAACCTTTTGCTTGTATTCGACAATCTTTTTCATACAATGCGGCTTTTCACTCGCTTTTCAGAGTCAAAAAACCATATAACTGAATTCGGAATAAAAATGCGGGACGCGGTGGACGTGAGGATCAACGTATAACAGAATATTAACAGAAGGGTGGCAATGACTTTTAATAGTACATCTTTTTAGTAATCCTACAAAATGAACTTCAAAACCGGAGAACGAGAGGAAGACACAGACGCCTTTTTCCGACCGATCCGGTACCAATTTCCCGAACGGGTTCCTCCCCCTGACGTGCACCTTGGAGCCGGATTTTGCATCTTGGGTTTTCTGCGGTTAGCGCAAGGGGGGAAAGGCAGTATTAATACCGAAAAAAATACGGTACACATACCGTTCACATACCCAAATATCAATTAAACCTTCTGTTCCCCAGAACAGAACAATCCTGTTCTTTTATTCGGGAATTTTTTGCCGAATAAAGGAGCAATTGTGTCCTGTTCTGGGAGTTCTTTTCCCACCGACAGAACCCTTTTGTTCTGTTATATGGAACACGCATCTGGGCTTCTGGAGATCTTCTAGAACGCTGGTTTTTGAGATATCCGGAAGTTCTCAAATGAGCTTTTCAAGCAAAAAAAAAGAGTCATCTTGGAAGAGTAGCGAAAACACACGTAGGACATCCTAGGTCCGGATTCGCGCATTTCTTGTCACATTTGATGTTGTTTGATCTTACAAAGCTAATTAGAGACGGATCGAGCCGACACTCGTTCAGAATGTATATATATAGTGGACATTATTACTAAACTTTCACTTATCACTAAAATGTCACTTGATTTCGTAATGCTCCTTCTCCTCGCTTTTTTCGCTTTAGTCAACTCGCAAGCAGTAAGTAGTATTCTTCTCCGACGCATGATATAATGCATCGATTTTTCTCTTCTAGCAATATAACAGCATCATTGACCAACTGCAAGATGAGCAAATCTTAAGCAGTATCATCGCCTCAACAACACTTATTACCACCCCGATCATCGAACCAAGAATGGCTCAACGCATAGAATACAACTGAAAGACATTAGTGAATTTATACAATGTGTTACTGGCTGCTTAGCAGCTCATGAATCGGTAACAGAGACGGTTATATGTTGGTGTGAAATCCGATGTTATCGTAACGGAGGGGAGTGTAAGGTAAGACCTTAATGGCTCATATCATTATGCATTTAATTTACTTATTGCTCTTCTTTAGAGCGCCTGGTGGTACCCGAAGACGTTAAACGAATATCGCCGAGCTGTAGCGCAAGGTAAGTGTCCAATTGTTTTTCCTTTCTAAAAGAAAAACATGATGTTTTCTTTTCTTACAGAAAGAGCAATCGCCCTCACTCGTCTACCCACATCGACCACACCACTGACTACTCAACAGCCTGATCGTTTTCTTACTTGTTACGACCTTTTCGATCTTTCCACTACCTACTTTTTTTGCTCATTATCAATAAATTTTCACTTACGATTAAAATAATCAAAATCCAGAGCTGGAGCCAGCAGAGACGAATCGCGACCCGTTTAGTACTTCCTCCTTGTCGCATATGATCAAAGCACTAATAAGTGATTTTCTCCCTGATGACTTTGTCAAACGGAAAGATGTGCAGTCGATAGAGCTTGAAGAGTTCTATCTGGAGCCATCAAACAGAGAGTTGGAGCTAGCGTGCAGTCGAATCGCGATAGGTCTTTCGGGAACTGTCTGGATTTTTGTCGTGTTTTGGCAGTAGTTAGCGATTTTTCCATAGATAGCGTGATCAGTTCTGGGAAGGGACAGCTGGAGCCGATGGCGCTTCTCCAGGTCTACTTGGAGCCAATGAGAGTTAGGTTGGATCCAGCATGTGGGCGAAATTTTGGATAAAGTTCAGCGTCTTGCTAGTAGGGTCATTTCACAAGATTTTAGTAGTTCTTCTTCTTCTCTGCTCAAACAATTTAAAATTCAACCACTTTCAAACAGACGTCTATATTATCGCCTTCTCTATTTCTATAAAATTTTCTATCATAAAAGTCCTCTCTCCTCTTTTGATGTGATTTCGCAGTCAACAACGCGTCAAAGTTCTCGATTAGACCATGATAGTCGCGTGTTTGTTCCTCGTTTAATGTCAAAATCTGCATCTAGCTCTTTTCTTCCGCGAACGTCAAAAGATTGGAATGAACTACCTTCTGTTTTAGCGTGTCAAACTTCTTTAGCCACATTCAAAAATATGCTGCGAGGTTACTCAGGCTTTTAATAATGTTATTTTGTTTACTTATTCATATTTTCAAATTTTTAGTTTTAGGTTATCACAGGGTATCCACGGATGCCACAAGATTTTGTTTCTTTTTTTTGTGATATCCTGCTCTTTAGTAAAAAATAAATCTTATCTATCTTATCGAATCCGTTCAAGACATTATTGATTCTACCGCGAGCGAAAGACAAATGGAAATGAAAAGTCAAAAGATATCATTAAAAGAAGTCGATCGAGAAACAATATAGAGCGAACAAGATAACAGACCAGGTGCCGTTAAAGACGTAAGGCGAACCACGTTTTAAAAAGTGACTACTACATTCGATGGATAGGATATAATTTACCATGTTTGTCTTCTTTTTAGAAAAAAAACTCGGTCCATTCATATATTTTTCAGAAACAGGTTTCTTTTAGTTTTTAAGAAATACAGTTGTCAATTTCAAAGATAAAAGTTAGTAAAATGGATCTATTTCAATTTAATTGTTGTGATTTTACTGGAAAAAGTAAATGTAGAACTTGGGCTTCTCTGACTATGATGTTCCGAAAAGTAATCAGGAAAGTTATGTTGGTCCTTCCGAATTTGTGCAATTTGTAAATTAAAATGAAATCCATACGTTTTACTAACTTTAGCCTGTGTTATTGAGATCTCTATATCAGAAAAACTAAAAGAGACCTTTTTCTAAACAATAGCATGGTATAGAGTACAAGTTGTGTACTACAAACTGGCAGAAAAACTGGAGAATGTTATCTTCAGATTTGTTAACTTCTTTATCTGAGAAGTTGTTAGAATAAACACTACTTTCATATTCATAGTGAAGGGAATCTTTCTTTTGGATCAACGATAAAATTTGTCCTTTTCTCAATTTCTTGTTTTATATCTCTCTCTATAGTGTGCATACAAAGAAAAAAACATCAAGTCAAGTATAATACATGTTCATTTTGTAATACGATACTTCTATATTCTTTTTTTCAGGCGTATTGAATAATACTGTTTTCAACTTTCTTTCCAATAAAATTACCGGTGAATAAAGTCACCGATGCGAATTTTGATGGCTTCCCTTACTGTTCTTTTGAAAATAAAAATAAAAGTTTCGATTTTCTTCCAGGTAAAAGTAAAAGCATTTCACTTTTTTGGAAATGGAAACAAAAGCGGCGTCATTACTTGGAAACGACCTTCAGATGTCTGCAGAGGAAACACCGATCCAGCTGCGTTTTCTCAAACCTTCTTACACATTCCATGGATAGAAAAGATTTCTGTACTATTGTACAGCACAAAAAGTCGACGAGCATGCTTTTAAAACTTCCATATTTCGGTTCAAAGTTTTCAACGGCTTCTGAGTTGATACTTTGTCCATTTGTACGGCTTATTTCTACTGGAGAAAACACTAAACACCGTCAGTTGCTGGATCATCATTCTTGAGTTGGAACCAGAGCTGGTACGAGTACTTGTGAGTACTTAATGTTGTGAAAGCAACAGCGTTCTGATTTGTTGAGCAAAATATGCATTCGTGGGCCTGCATTCGACGCAGGTTTTGATAGTCTAGAAAGTGACTCATAAGCAGGTTTTGCTGAGAGGAGAGCGCCGCTGCTTTCACAACATCAGGTACTCGTACCGGCTCTGGTTGGAACCGCTTGAGCGAGTTCTTCCTTCCCAGGCAAGACATATTCCAAGAAAATTAAATGATAAAGTTTCGAGGAAAAACAGATTTTATGATGATTAGAATATTCTGAGATTTTTAGTAGGAACTTACCCCTTAAAAAGAGGAATATTGCAAAACTGTATCCCAGTTTAGAATCTTTGAGTTTTTGTAATGTTTAAATAGTCAATTATACTTTATAAACTGGATTATGGCATTATGATAAAGATGAACATAGTAATATTTGTTTAGTACATCGTAGTTAACAAACAGTTTCTCGACAAACAGTAGTGAAACTTAACTGTATAAATCGCTACAAAGTTTCTTCATAGAATAGATTGTATCTCTTTTGCCAGGAGCCGTTCTAGACTCCGAAAAAAACAAAAAATACTTTTTAATTCCTTCTGTTATCATTGGAGCACACTAAAATTTGTATACAAAGTATGAACTAGGCCGAGACAGTACTTTATAACTTTCGCCAGTTCAGTTGCGGCTTACCAGATTCTTCTTTTACGTCATTCAGGATGTCGGAAGCAGACGACGAAGCGGTATGAAATTCTTGATTTTCTGATCCTTTGGATCCTAAATATAATCAATAGGATAAAACGGTTTAAAGCAACATCATTGTAACAAAACATCCTCACTCGTTGTTGATGCATCTGTGGGTGATTGTGGGATCAAATTGTACTGAAGTCTTTCACAGTCTCGTTTTGTTCCTAAATATAGTCGCATACGGATATCTTGAGTCTTGTAAGCAAAATATACCTTTCAAGATGACTGTTCCTTTACGCTGCTCCCCGTTGATCTGAACTGTATATGTTTCGTAGACCACAATCGATTTTGGCTCAGCTCGAAGGTGCCGTTGATTTACGGTATCGAAATCGGTTGTATCCGCCCAACGAATCAGGCAAAACTCTTCTTGGGCACTACCACGCTTCGCTAAATATATTGAATTATCTCCTTTTAGTTAGAAACAAGTCTCAAAAACGTCTTACGAGCCTGTTTAGCCAATGATTCTTCTAGATATCGACGAAACATGTTTCGCTTATTTTTTTCTACAAAGAAATAGCACTGCTCATTTTACAGCACTAAAGAAAAATAATCTAATAAAGGAAGACAAGAATAATATGTACTTAACAGAGACCGAAACGGAACGCTTGATTTTGCCACCCTTTCGAGCATAAATCTTTTCCTTTCCATCCCGCTCCGTATTTATTGGATATTTTATCCGGACAATATGATTGATTCTTACGCATCACGCTTCCTGGGCAAGAGCAACCAGAGAAAGGGAGAACTTTTTTGAGGATAGAGATACTGAAGATGAACTATATCAAGATGAAATAGCAATGTATAGGACAATTCACGACGAAAAATTAACTTTTGATCGTCGGTCTTGTTCTCTTCGTTTTTCATCTTATGGTTTGTATTTTATTGGAAGCATAACAATTGTGAACTGAGTCCATGCTATTGTTAAAACATCTAGTGATATTATTTGTCTCTTAACGGTAAAAAAGCATGTTAGAACATATATGGACAATATAGCTTTTCTGTCCTTTGAACTTTTAGCTTTTGCAGGGGCTCCCTCTGACAATCTGGCATAGTTTTGCACTCAGTACGGAGATTGTACGAACGGATTTGAATGAACTGTAAAAATGGAAAAACTAGCAAATGTTCCGGTCTAGCACGCCGGCGAACATGAGCTACGAAGAAAGTCTGACTTTGTTGCAGAACAGCCAAGTGTAAGACAAATAATGACTGGCGAGCAAAGGACCAGGGTCCATTCTCAACCCCTTTGGATAGAGATTTCAGAATATATAGTGATCTTAAAGTTTCTCTCAGAAGCTTTTTCAACCATATCATTAGATAGCCCCTTTAATTCTCCATAAAATGAGATGTCGACAGAATTTATATTGATAATGTTAAAAAGCCTGTAACTCGGTGGTCCGCGATCGTAGAAACTTGGCCAGCATCTCATTTTATGGAGAATTGAAGGGGCTATATAATGATATGCTGAAAAAGCTTCTGAGAGAAACTTTAAGATCACTGGGCTTTCTTGAAAACCGGGTTTTTCAGAAATCTCTATCTCAAGACTCCGAGGTGTAGGATAACTTTTCTCTGTCGAAATATATATAGAAATCAACGCGCTGTTTCATTTGATACCATCTTCAAGGTTCTACGTTAAGGAATGTGGTCAGCAGACGTTCTACAAGTTAGACCAAATCCGTCGCAAAATGACGAAAATGCATTTTTCTGCTGCGAGGGTAAAATGGCTGTAGCTCTTTTCTAAGAAGGCTAGACACTTGCGGTTTTCACCATTCGATTCAGCTTGCTGAGCTCGATGCTAGTTGACCTCATGCTGAGGCCGATGTAAATGGGGATCGGTTTTATATGGATTCAGCCTATCCGTCGATGCCGAAAACATCACTCTCCAGTAGTACTTTTAGTGTTAGGACACCCAGACCTAATTTGACCTCAACATTTCATATTTCATTTTGTAGCCCGTGAAATTGTCTATCGAGTGGTATACAGTAGTTGAGGTTTGCTTTGAGTAAAAGAGAAGAAATGGGGAAAATACTCTAAATAAAGTTCATTTAGGGGGCGAAAAGTTTGGATGCGAATTTTTTCCGTGAGGGTGAAAATGAGTTTTTTAAGCTGCTAGTTCTAATCACGGAAAAAAACTACATCAGACCTGTGAATATGAGACTGATCTGCGAGGGGGCTGATATTACCCCTTATAGGACCCCCGTCCTTTTTATCATCTCACATTTTCAGTCTTTATAGCTATGATGGGGACAGAAATCAGTGATTTCCCTTTTTAAAGAAAGTGGTTTTTTACTCTTCTTCCCTCTCATCATTTGAAAATTGTGCTTGTATTTCTTTTCGCTAGTGTTAAAACAATCGATCATGCTCAGCTGACACTGATATTTTAATTCCACAGAAGTAAACAGTTGAAGCTTTAAAATGATGGGCTACTTTCACCTAAAACAGGAAAGCTGTAAATATCATAAATTTCGCTTTGTTTTCAGTTCTCAGTATCAGCGCGAGAGATATTTAAAAAAAAAGACCAGATTTCAACATGCTTGCAAACCAGGTACTTAGGTGATTTTGAGTTTACTGAACGATCAAAACAAATTTTCTCTATTTTATCAGAGGTTCGCTAGTTGACCAAATAAAAAAAACCTTGTAGTATGAGAAAGATCACCAACAGATCCGCCATTACTTCCACGAATAACCTGCATATTTTCATTCGACCGGCCGCTTGTATTGACAACTCCTAACAACACTACAGCTTATAACCTTTTCGAAGTTTCCGT